AAAAATTATTAAATAGATGACAACCACAGAACATAAATTGGCCACAAAGTGACAGCCTATTCATTTTTCAAATAGAATAAGAAAGACAAATTGGAAATAACTCCCCATCTATTTCACTGAACGTTTCTCAAGAATACATTTACTTGACAGACTGAAGCTGCTAATAGAAGCAGTGAATTGCTTTTCAAAACATGGTTTTGACGGCAGTAAATGCTATTTTCTTCTGCTTTGAAAACACTTGACATCAGTGACTCAAATTCTACAATAAAGAAAAGAAAACTAATTGAATGCGTACCGTAATCCCCCTCCATCTATGGACAGGATCCGTATGCCCCGGCCTTTAACAGGTGCATGGTAGCCCACCAGAGCAAGGGCTTCTCTAACTGCTGCCCTCAGGCCTGGGTCGTTGGCCTGTTTCAAACGCAATAGGCCCGGGATAACTTTCTCCTGTGGAACACATAAACATATTGCGGCACTCAGAAGTGAAAATGAAATACACTATCTGTCCACCATGATGTGGTCGGACGAGAATTGGCCAGGCAAATTTTACTTACTGGGGCCCAAAATTGCGAGCTGAACACAAGCTGCTATTTGAGAATAATAAATGTGATATCCTGCTGTATTTACCCTCTATTTGTTTTCACTACCAGGTGTCCTGTGTTGCTTCTATTCTGCTGCTTGTTTTCTTTCAGCATGCAGCTACTCAAACAAGGGCACAAACAATCAATGCTTCCTGATTTAGAGGTCGATCCCACTGTTTCTCTCAGATTGGCTGCTTTGCCATTTTGCAAGTCATAGTTTAATCAGAATAAACTCAGGAAAGCAAACAAGGTGGGATCATTTGCAATAAAAAATGATTGCATATCAGACCTTTACTGAAATGAAAGCAGAGCAAAAATTGGTGTGACTGTGTTTTAAGGCTGATCACACGTTTAAAATCTTGAGATAAGATATTACACGAAAAGGAAATTTGCTTTCGGCATTCTGGCAACACAGTGTAAAAGGTAAAGTAAATGATAACAGGTAGATAAAACATGATGCCTTACAGCTACTACCAACACAATCAGTTATGATAAATGTTTGTGTGAAGCCAGAGGAACTTTTTTCCTCACACTACGACTACGACTACATTAAGACCAAATGTGGATCAGATCACCACTGTGGCCTCACAACAGTAAATGTGTCCTTGGATTGAAATAGGTTAGCATTGAATTCATTACTGACACCATCACAGATAAGGCTGAGACGTAAATAAAAGCTGCAGTATGCAGTCTGCATGTAGTTGCTGGGCTCTTGACATTTTCCCTGGCATGGTGACATTCTCAAACACAAGCAGAGGGCCGTTATCTACATTATTAACATGCTACAGCTGTTTTAATAATCCATGCCAGATATAACAACATTATGTGTGCATTAAAAACATGCTGCTGTAAACACTGTCTCAGCATAAGGGTTATTGCTTTTGACATGCTAAGCAGAATCAGGGACTTTCCTGACAAAGCATCAATATGCTAACATTCTGCAAAAAAGGAGAAAAAATGCTAGCCTGTTCAGATTTCTCACCTTCACTGCAACACCACTAGTCTCTGGAAACTCCAGGAGATGGTAGCTGAGGTCCTCCACCCTGTTGATGTAGACTCTTACGTCTGATGCTCTGTGGAGACCCTTTACCAGAGCCCGAGTTCGATTGTCCACACTCACCCTGGCAATGATCTAGGAGACAAAGAAGATGTGCAACCAGTGAGGTCCAGCTAATAAACATTAGCTGGTTGTTAAAACCTAACATGGTGTCTGGCTCATTTAAAACATAACTCTCATTTTTTTTACAATTTGACATAAATAATTAATTTTGTCATTGTTTAATTTTTTTTGTCTTATGGCCTCCTTGACCAGAATGAGAAGTAATAAGTGAGAAACACATAATACAACACTAATGCAGTCCCCAGTAGGACTGACATTAAGTTGATGACTCTCCGGGCCATTGCCCGACCATAAAATCTAATCCAATCAAATATCTTGAATTTCTTTATGTCTGTATATAATATTTATAACAGCTATTGATTGAGTATCAGATTTGTATTGTAATCAACACATTTATTTATCCATTATCTAAAAGTAAATTGGTTATAATAACTTCCTAAGGTCCTGAAATTGAGCCAAAATGTAAACCACCTAAAATCCAATTAACTGTGTAGGGTGGTTAAATCATTAACAGATTAGTGATGAAGCTGCCGTCCTCCAAACTGTTGTCAACAGACATACACTTCAGTTCCATTAACAAGATGTTGTTGCTTTGATGGTACAGATTTCTTGATTGGCACTTGGATGAAATGCAACAACAGAACTAGACCATAACCCATCCATATATCACAACAATCTACTGTATATCATCAGCCAAAGGACATAAGTCATGCAGTATTTCTGCAATCTGATAATGTAACGTACACAAAACATATTATTAGTTCCTGTTTACTATGACTCAATCCAACCCTGGTAACTGAATGTCAGTTGTGTTTATATCAACACAACATAAAGCTTGGCTTGGCCTATAAACTATAAAGTACATACCTTCTGCAGCCCTCTAACTCCACAGGGGGGTTATTTTTGAAAATAGATTACCGAGAACTCAGGAAACACATCAGCACACTACACTGCCATTAGACATATAGAGTAGCAGGCACCCTGCCATAATATACCAGATACTAAGAACTATCTGATGAGGTAATCATGTTTCCTTCAAACACAGACCACATCCAATATAGTTATAATCTGTTTTTGAAATACAAGAACACAATTATGATCAGTAACAAGATACAGGCATGATCAGATCTGTTTAAAACCTAGAGTGGAGTAAGGCCTTTTGGAAGATAATGGTTTAGGTTGCCCATACATACAGTAAAACACACAAAAAATATGAGCTAATTGTGATTTTATTATCCCGACACTAGGTAAAATTTACAAATAAAAACATTGCTTTTTTTTTTAAAGACCTACCTTCTCCCTTTGAAGCAGAAGTTTCTTGGCTTTCTCCTCTGCAGCCTTCTGCTCCTTACTAATTGTGGCCTCAGTCTGTTTGACTGGTGCATCCTCAGACTTCTTCTCCTCCACTGCAGTAGTTTTGGACTCTGCTGTCCTAAACTTGGGGACCAAGGTAGCAATGTAGCTTCCCACAAAGGCTTGTACAGTGGGAGCTGAGTAGGACAGGTAGTGTCCTAAACCCTTCTTAGAGGAAGGTGGTGTAACTGGAACAGCAGAGTCGATTTTATCAGACACTGACACGAGGTCACTAGTTTGTTGACCCTGAGAGGGAGCAGGGGAATAGTCAACATTTCCCACTTTCTTGTCCTGAGTCTTTGTGCTGCTGCCAAAGTATGAGTTGATGTGATGGGCAAGGTAGTTGTAAGTCTCATCCAGGTTGACTGAGAAAGTGCTGGGATGGAAAAGTGCTGTGGTTTGTTTGGAAGTTGTGTTCTTACTCTCAGTATCGCTCGGTGGTGGTTTAAGTTTCTCTTGCTTCCTGGCACAACTGGCTTTGACTGCAGGAACAACGCGTCTCAGCTTTTTCTCCTTAAGTTCACGCACAGTCAGAACTGCGGCAGTGGCAGTCACTTGGGAAGAACTGTGAGGGTGAGTGGAGGTAGTGGCACTTGCATCAAATGTAGCAGCAGTAGTGGGAATAGAAGGACTGGCAGAAGATGAGTTACACACAGGTTTGGGTGTAGTAGATGTAGAAGGGGGAGCAGCATTAGTGGGAGCAGGGTGAAGTGTGACTGCATTCTCTTCAGCTTTTGGCGTTAACTCAACGCTAGCCTCAGCTTTTTTCCCAGCCTTTAAAGCATTAGGCTTGAGTCTGGCGATTTTGGAGAGAAGTTCTGTATGCGTCCCACTCACAGCTTTAGAAACTGTGTCCAGTGTGTTCCTGACCCGCGACATGTGTTGGCTCAGACCAGCAGACCAACGTGAGGCTGAAGTGTTCAAATAAAGGGTGCTGGTGTGGAGCCCAAGCCTATGTCTGACCTGATTAGCTTTAAAGAGCCATCCTTTACGCCCAGTGATCCTCAGGAGGTGGATGTGACGCCAGCTGAGATAGCCAACCTTGTAGCAATGAGGTTGTGGTACATGAACCCTGCAGGGAGAGGTACCAGACAAGGGAAGTGATGCGGCTGACTTGTGAGCTTTTGTATGCCACAAGTGATATGCTCTGCTTACTTTCACCCAGGAATTTGGAGCCCATTTATGACTCATTATTTCAAGTCACAATAGTTTGTGCCATCCAAAGTAATCCCAGGTCTATGCTCTCCCTTTTCATTAACCTGGTGATGAAAAACAAAAAGTATTGTACACATGACAGAAAGAAAACAATGGCACGAAAGTGATGAAAATGACATGTGAAATAAAAACACACTAACACTGCTCCTAAATCTAGCATTGTTCAGTTCTATTCACAAGTAAAACCTCTTTGGTAAATGATCCTAGCTGAGAGGACAACAAAACAGCGTTAACTTGTAGCTACCCAGAATAACAACAACACCAGCAACTAGCTGTTAGCTCCGCGGCTAGCTAACTCGCCAGCATTAATAAAGGCCACACAAAACGTAATAAAACATACCAGTGTTTTTATGTCGTCGACCATGAAAGCCACGAATCCTTTATTATCTGTGTAAAGTCGCCGTCCTTCGTTAACGTTAAAACAAAACTATAAAAGGTATGGCAACACATAGGGTCATTCGACCTGACACCGTTTCCAGAATGACGTGACGACGTCAGTCAAAAGAAAAACAATGGTCACGTGGCGCTCTATGTACTCTGTAATTGGCTGTTTATCGCTCGACCCCTTAAAAGGAGTCTGTTGATTGGTTGAGGAAATTCTCCCCGCCGTTAAGCGTAGCAGAGGATCGACTGTTTACATTCACCGGCGTACGCCGAACGACTCCTGGGTTTGCGGTGTCGGCACCAAACAATAAAACTAGGTCTCCACCCTTCTACGGATCACACGGGATTCAGGCATACACAAATAGAACGCTCTGCAGACGTTGGACGTGTGATGACTACTCTTTACCCAAACAGTTTAAAATCTGAATAAAACGCTATACGATAATAGTATGTGTAAGTTAGTATACTATTGTAATAAGTAGTAGTAGTAGTAAGACTTGATATTCATATAAAAAGCAACTTAAGTGACGTTAGTTAGCGTTACATGCTAACACAAACAACATCAGGGTCACTGTCGGACAGTGGAGGAGGGAACATGAACAGCGTTGGCCGACAGAGGGCAGAAATGTCTACCGGTACTTACCCGTATACAATAAATAGGATAGAAGAAGATACTAATGATGCTGCCTGTGACCACTGCCTCTCGATAGCACTCACAACCTACCGACCTTACGACGTATCGCTGTCATGCTTAGTGTTGGGTAAATAGTTAACAGGAAGGACGTGCAGTACGCCAGCTAAGGGTCCCCTCAAAAGGTAAGTGTGGGTCTGAAAGTAACGGAGAATATATTGGTCATAATAACGTTACATTGTGTTAGCCAACGCCGGCTAGCTAACGTCTGGAGTGACGGTTGACGTGACGACACTGCGATGGAACGGCAAAATATAACGTTTAACGTTTATGAGCCAGTTTACATGATGTAATCTAACGATATAGCGATGCCATCAAGCTAGATAAGATCATTTGTATGGTATCGTATCTAAACGCTAGCTATTAACTAAGCTTTTCAGATGTATTAACACCAATTAACGCTCCTTTTGCTTTATTGGATGTAACACACTTCTCATTACTAACTGATCATTTCCCCTCTTGAATGCAGGGGACATCGGAGCCATGGCAACGGCGCAGTCTGCCGTAACGTTTGCGGTGTGCATCCTCATGATAACAGAGCTGATACTTGCCAAGAAGGACTACTATGATATACTGGGAGTGCCTAAAGATGCTACTGAGCGACAGATAAAGAAGGCTTTCCACAAGCTTGCGATGAAATATCACCCAGATAAGAACAAGAGCCCAGACGCTGAAGTGAGATTCAGGGAAATTGCTGAAGGTATAATCGGTTTCTATCTAAAATAAAATCATTATTTCCAAAAGTGCTGCAATATTATTCAGATTTCTAATGCAGACGATATTGAATGTACATGTTTGAGCTTGCCATGACCTTACTGAGGCCTTTGTCACTTTGATTGAATCTTGTCTTTCTTTGTGCAGCTTATGAAACTTTATCAGATGAAACCAGAAGGAGAGAATATGACCAGTTTAGTGACACCTCTGCGTACTTCGCTGGGGAGACACGAGGAAGACGTAGACAGGGTGCCCACCAACCTTACTCCTTCAACTTTGATGACATTTTCAAGGACTTTGACATCTACAGTCAGAACAGGCACGCCCGTCACCGAAGACACTTTGAGGAACACTCCAGGTCCCACAAGGAGTCCCACAGCAGACATAAGAGACACTTTCAAGGAGGTTTTGGTGCTGGTATCTTCGATGACGTGTTTGATGACATAGAGAAAATGTTTACCTTTGACGGACACACCACACAGACTGAAAACAGGTTTCATGGTGCATCAAAACAACACTGTAGGACAGTGACACAGCGCAGAGGAAACATGGTAACCACATACACAGACTGTACTGCATCTTAAGGTGCAAGGTAAAATGACCTCTGACTCAAAATGGCCTTAAGGGGATACAATACTGTTGTATTGATTTGGTAATGGAAAGCCACTTGGTTCAAATGCTGTGAAATTTGAACAGTGACATCAATATCTGACATTCAGGCACAAAATGACAGTGACCACTCAGTTTACGTAGCTTCATTCAAATAAGTTATATTTTGTTCAAGCTATTCCTCGTGTGTGCTCATGGACTTGTACATGATTGTAGTAGTTTTTCACTTATTGTTAAAGTAAGCGGGCAGCGAGTATTTTGAAGCACCTTTTTCGATAGTGGGATTTGTTACGTTTTACTGTTTTGGAAAAATAAAACAATCATATGGAATTTGGCACAGGAATATCAACGTGTCAGTTCATCACTACTTTTACCTTTGTTCTTTTGTACAGTTTTTAGTTTCTTTTGTGTAGGTTTTGCCATTGTGGGTCTCAAAACACAAGTGAAGCTAGAAACAATAGCAGCCAGCGGAGTTTTGCTTATGGTTGTGAAATGGGGAGCAATGTCAACAAAGTCTGTGACCCTCCACATGTTGGCTTGTTTAACTGGTGTTTGTTCCACATCTTGTTGAAATATTCATGTCCTCGATGCTGTCAGTCACATTTTTTGAACATCTATATATTTAAGCATTTGTGGTTAAATCTCCATTTATTCAATTGTAAAGAAAATACAGGTAGAAAAGAGGTATAAGTAAATGGAGAAATGTTTGCGATATCTGCAGGGGTGGGATGAAGACTGATTTGTTTGCCTTTCAATTAATACAACTAAGTGTGAATCCTATAATGTTCAATTGTTTGTGGTATTTTGATATTTAGTTATTTATATTGAGGCCATCTTTATTATTAAAAAGCCTCAATCAATTTTGAATTCAGAATCACGCTTTCACTTATATTTTATTATAGTATGAAATCTGAATTTATAATTACAATGCTTGAAATTTAACCAAAAATCATCAAATATAGGTATTTAAAAGCATTTGACTGGCATGTCAGACAAACTACAAAGAATTTTCTATGTGTAAACCTGTAAACTGTTAATGAACTGTAAGCTGACTACAGTACATACTAGAGGTTTCATTACTAAGAATCTTACTAGTCACAAAGGTTTGTATTTTTTAACAATGGATATAAGTGTAATGTGCAGGAATATTTTAAATTGACGTAAAATGTAAGAATACTGCAGTGCTACAATGCTGAAGAACAAATGTATGTATAAATATATACAAGCATCAATGTTTAGCATATTGTATGAATATTGTGATGGCTATGACTAGTTGATGAAACCCCTGGTACATACTGTTCTCCTAATATATCATTTGTTACCTCAAACCTGAACTCTATACAGTGACATGCTCCTTTCACACTGTAGCGTGCAATATTAAATTACTAGTGTTGTAAATATTCAATGGCACTTTTCAATTTTATATCATTTTAAAGAATGTGTTTTTAGAAATAAAAATTAGAGACCAAACTGAGCTTCTTTCTGCGTAGGTATTTTCTATGTTGGGTAAGAGTTCACATTTTAGATTAAAAAAAACCAAAATCTGGCACGTTTCATTCATTTTATAAACATTTTGTAGCATTATAATATATTGTATAAATTATGAAAGGCCTTTACACACAGATTTTGTTGAAGTTACGTTAATGATTAACGTTACATAATGCTGTTTTATTTTACTAAACCTTACTGATTTTGATAGTTTCCTCTCAGATATCCTCGTCACTATTTATTCATTTATGAAGAAAAGGAAATTAAACTACAGGTGTTCTGTTGTAATATAAACGGCAGTCCCAAAATAAAGAATAATTTAAAAAAAAATAATAAAGTAAAAAACAGGTCGTGTCGGTTCCCTCATAAATGTAGCATCCCTTTATCGTATACGTAACATAAATATTTTGATATTCACCATAGTTACTGTTGCGTAGAGGAAAAATAATGGTCTTTCTTTTTTCTTTTCATCGGCACAATACGAGACACCTCTAGGAAATGTAGTTCATCAAAAGTCAAACCCCGGACACTTTGCCGTTGAGTGGGACTCTTCTGAACTCAAACTCCCATGATTCAACACTGCAGCAACCGTCTGCGCAGTTGTTGGCAGATCCGAAGAGACCAGACGCCAGTAGCTTTAGCTGTGGGACATTGAATGACTTTGTACCCGTGTGCGACAGGGTGAAGAAAGTTGCCTATTTTTGACAGGTTGGGATTCACATCGGAGCTCATGGAGGCCCTCATACCTGTCATAAACAAACTGCAGGATGTGTTCAACACGGTCGGCGCAGATATAATTCAGCTGCCGCAGATAGTCGTTGTGGGAACTCAGGTGAGAAACGTCACTTTGCTTAAAGGCTAGCAAGTTAGTTAGCCTGCACCAACTTATTGTTTTGGCTGCTGCTGATATTTGACTTCAGTTCCTCTTTCAGTTTCATGCAGGTGTGATAGACAAAGCCGCGTTGGCTGTGTGAATGTTACGTTAGCTTCGCCCCTTCTTTTTTTTGGTGGGGGGGGATATCAAAGTGAATTCGTTTAGAAACTTAGTTAGCATTAGCTACATGTGATCGCACTTACAACTTAGCTCAACCTAGCATTGTTTTGGTTGACAGAGATCAAACCACACAGCCTTCAGGGCACTATCCTGGATACACAATTCAATTCTGGTTTCCTTGGTTAGATTTAGCTTGGTAAACATAAACACATTGATCTTCTCATACCGTTCACATATTACCAAGGAGGTGTCTTAATGGAAAACATGATATTCTCCAGTCACACACACACACACACACACACACACACACACACACACACAATAGAGCATACACTCAGATGCTAAACCTATTGTCTAATATGACTGAATTCGACATAAGGCTTATCTTCATCACAGTTAAAATTGTTGTTTTACAGAGGTGTTGATATATTATTAGTAGCCTACCCTTGTTAACATAAATGGGGGGAACAAATTGTTACAGTCACCTGAACACAGTACAGTACAGCAGCATGTACTACGACTGACCATGACGTTGAACCAACACCTTTATTCTCGAATACAGTTTCGCGCTGTTCATCTAACTACCTTGTGTACACGTTAGAGGCTAATTGGTTTAAAGTGGCAGGTTTTGTCTGACACGTTTACTCTCACTGCTGTCAGCTAATAGGATGTGACTGTCTCAGACCTTTTGGCAGGCGACTGAGGGTGTTACAGTGAGACAGGTTAAGCCAGAGGATGCCTTAAATGCCTGATTTGTTATGCTTGTCCTTGCCGGAGCTCCATAAAGGCCCAGATCTCCAAAGACCTTCAGTTAAGGACAGCTGTAACAGAGACCTGATGCCAAGTATTAATAACTGGTTATCCCAGTCAGGTCTATAAATAGGCCAAACGTATATCAGCCGAAACAACGTTAGGTTTACTGCTACAGAGGAAGCAACTGATAACATTTTTAAGCCCTCATCCCCAGTATCAGTCCATTTAAGAGGAATCTGCTAGCCAAGTGAGCTAAGTGAGGTATTTCAGTTCATCAGATCTCATTCAGGGTTACTCCACCACACATGTCAAGAAAAACCAGATATGTCTTCCTAGCTGCACCCAGTGCTTGTGTGAATGGGTGCACAGGTTGGAGCAGCCACAAGGGTTGTGTGCGACCAGTGAGCGACTTCCAGGACGGCCAACTTTGCCCCGATAGTTCCTGGGCCGTCCGAAAAGCAGGAAGTTAGACCCTGGTTGTTCTGGTGGGAATGCAGTTAGGGTTCCTGAAATGGTTCCTCGTCCCCTGGAAAGGGACCTGCAGTGATAACAACAGGGCAGAGAAGTGATGTCAAACACAGTCGACTCTCAGTGCAGTCAGTGTGTTTTGTCTTTAGCTGCACAATGGGAGGTGTGATTTCTCTGGTCAGTGAGTCATTCATACTTTTGGCTTTGTTTACGATGTTGTTGTTGTTATTGTCTACAGAGCAGTGGGAAGAGTTCAGTTTTAGAGAGCCTGGTTGGCAGGGACCTCCTGCCACGTGGCACCGGCATCGTCACACGCCGACCGCTTATCCTTCAGCTAGTGCACATCGACCAAGAGGACCGGAGGAAAACCAGTGAAGAGAATGGTAACCTCACTGTCACTTCTATTCTACTTCTGTATGTGTGTAGTTATTCCACATTAATCTTCTCCTGCAAACTACATGATCTTTTATACACAATATACACAATGTACTGTACGTGTGTTATAGCCAGACTGGTCCTGGATTTTTGAGGTTCGGGACTGATTTTGATATTTAGGGGTTCTGATAATGATATATTGTTTGGCATTTCTGTACTGCAAATCATTGTTATTTCCAGCCACATATTCAGATATGATGTGTTTGCAATAAGCTAATATTGGCCGATATATTGGCCTGGCCAATTTAACAGCCTCGCTCTAATACGCATTTTGCATGATTTGGTATTTTATCAGGATATGTAGCAATAAACAAACTAGTCAGTGTACCTCACCAATAAACCTTTGTGTTTAAGTGAATGTATTGGGGTGTTTCAGTTACAGGCAGGTACAAAGAGCAAAGTCAGCAATCGGACTTATGTAGTATGTTTCACTTTTACTGATTTGATCACAAGATTTAAATCTAATGGAGATCTTTGACACTTTCTTTGGCCATAAGACTACGGTGCTATGGATTGTTTTTATGTTATGAAAGGAATAGCAGAGTCAGAATCAGCACTGATACCATCCACTTCTCAGTGAAAAGAACAGGGGACAAAAATGTATCAAGGTCTTGCGTTTATTCAGTGCTCTCCTCTGGCAATGGCCTCAGAGTGACTCGTATCAGAGTATCGTGCAGAGCTGCAGATAGCCAGGCTAACCCTTTTGTCTCCTGTCATCTCTCCCTAACCACAGAATCCAAGAAAAATGGACGCCTTTACAGAGGTCTCCTTTTCCTTGTTCTCTACCTAATTATGTTTATACATAACATAACCTCCTCCGTTCCTTTTGCCCATTCTGCCCCATCCTGCCTTGTATTTATGTAGCTTTTCCAAAGCTGCCAAACCATGTGGCTTCACTTTACTCAGCTCAAACCCTCCCCTCGATTTAGGCTGGTCTCTGTCAGTTGAAGTTAGACAAAGAAAATTTGCAGATTTCTGTCAAAAATAATCATTTTGGGATTAGTTTTACATTTTAAGTCATTAACTGACTGATTCCAACTTCCCCAAAGCTCACCTATAATTGCCTCAAATACTAGCTTCCTCTAAGATGACTAACAGATTCCACCCTTGTAACGTTGTTTCCTCGCCGTTGTTGCAATGCTAAGTATTGCATTTGAAATATATATTTTGTTTTTTAAAGAAGTCTTCCACCCAAAGCGCCCATTTTCTTTGCTTTGCTTTAGGATTTTATTTGCTTCCATGACTGAAACAACAGTTCTTCCACTGTTGTTTTTTTTTTTTCTTTTTTTATTCTTCAGCTGTGGATCTTTGCTCTGAGGAGTTTTTCCATAATGTATTTGCCAACAGAGAAATCCTCCCATGAGACATTTACCATAGCTGTAGTAATAATAGCAACACTGAACTTAAAGCCACATCTGTCACATCAGTGACTGAAACATCTGTCCTCGACTTTGTATCTCTGCAGGCATCGACGGAGAGGAGTGGGGTAAATTCCTACACACCAAAAACAAGGTAGAGTTGTTACCGTCTTGTCCCAGAAAATTATACTCTTGATCGAGTTTCCCACCACTGCTGCACTGTATATAGAAGCATTTGATGAACTGGATATGATCATGAAATGGCGTTGTTATGTGCTGATTCACTGACATTTATAGATTAGCTACTGGGGAATGTTTACAACAACAATATCTATAATGAGATCATGCACACACCTTCTCAGTAGCTAAGAATATTTATGTGGCTGTAGGCCAAATGTCCAAAGTTGAAATGTGTCTGCTGAGCTCCACATAGTTTGAACATGTTTGAACAAAGAAGCCTTTATGATGTGCGGAAAACCTCATTACAGTGACTTTTATGAATATTTCCCTATCATTGTTGTTGGTTGATGATCAAAAATGTTGTTCTTTCAGATCTACACAGACTTTGAGGAGATCAGGCAAGAAATTGAAGCTGAAACTGAAAGAATTTCTGGCAATAACAAGGTATGCTAATTAAGATCATTAAGAGGGATTGTCAACAGTTCCAAACTGGAAATTATGTCCATGGAGAAACTGGATGATCTTTAACAGTCAGCATCAATCTGGGATTTTGAGTCAACCTCTGAAGAAACCTCAATCCGTATGAGTAACTGAAGAATTATTCTTTTTCACAGGGTATTAGTGATGAACCCATTCACCTGAAAATCTTCTCACCACATGTTGTGAATCTCACGTTGGTTGACCTTCCGGGTATTACAAAGGTGAGCTACATTTCCTTTTGACTTCCACATATTCAAACCTGTGTGATCTACAAACTCAAAATGATCCCGCAGATACATTTCATTGACTTCAAAGTCA